GGCTGTGGCCCACTGGATGCTGAGGCACGGCACAGCGTGTGCCGCAGCTGCGCTGCACCGTGGGTCGGACCCTCGGGTTGGGACCCAAGCTACTTTTGACTTCTGAGGTGGCAATATTTCCACCCCTAAACACCTACAACAGAAACAGAGTGAAAGAAAACCATTCCTTTGCTCCCAGAGCCCGCGGGTGCTCTGTTTGTGTTTGCTGCTCAGGGTTTGTTAATGCTCACACCGCAGGTGGGCACGGCTGTTAATGTGTGTTGGAGAGAAATACTCCAGCCTCCATAAAGGTTCAGGTGTGGGGAGGAAGTGCCAGGCTGTTTAGCAGTACCACTCTTGGCAATAAATAAATAAATTAAAAAGTTGCCTTTAAGTTTTCCTGTTGGCAGTGGGTGCAGTTCAGCGCTGGCAAAGGCTGATGGCCGTGGCTTGCAAGAAGGGGGGGTGCTGTGCGTGCCCCGATGTGAGGGCGGCCGGGGGGTTTGGTGGTCCCCACGGGGCTGGGCTGAGCGGGACTGTGAGCCCACCCGGCCCCTGGCTGGTGCCGGCCCACAGCTTTCCCAGGAGCCCATCACAACCCACTGGGACCTGCCTTGCTGAAGGACTTTTGCAAAACTTCAAGAGGAAACACGATCGCGTGGTTAAATCATACGACTGGGAACACGATGTTCTGGGCACGATGCCCAGCGCAGCGCCAGCGCGAGGTGGTGGGGGCGGCCACGGCGGCAAGGGGGGTCCACGCTCCTTCTCTGCTTGAAGCTCCCCGAGCACGCGGTGCTCTGGAGCAGAGCTGCCGGGGCAGAGCATGCCGAGGGTCCCTGCATCTCCCCTCGGTGGCAGTGGAAGTGGTGGGTCTAGTTGCTGACAACCACCACAAGCAGGACCGAAGAACTGGGCAACACTCTGCCAGATGAGATGCCGCCAGCACGGCTGATGCTGCCCTGCACGGGGGAACTTCCACGTTCAAAATTCACTGAAAAAGTCAAACCCTTGAGTAACAGTGTATAGCTGCTCTAATGCTGCTGCAGTTACAGTTACAAGATAATAATGCGCTAGAATATCTGCAGTCTTCATTCATGAATTTTTTAAATTTATGATTAGCTCCAAAAAGTAACGGCAATTTAAAATTTAGATTTTCTATTACTTCTGATATATGGATTTTTACAGACATTTTCCAATTTCACTTGGTGATCATAAGAACAAGAAGCTTAACCACTTTCTTTAAATTAAATTTGGGTTCTTAAATAACGAAATCACCCCAGGAGCCAGAGCTACAAGCAGACACACCAGTTGTGATATCAAGCAGCGGCAGAAGCAGCTGCCACAGGTAGGCGGTTTTCTGTACGTGGGAGCCGTTCAGCTTTGGAAATCACATTCTCAGCCTGTTTGTGTTTTCTGCTGTTGAGAGGTGAGGATCAGGAGAGTTTGGTGCGTACCCGTGGCGTGCTCCTTCACATCCTCCTGGGTTTCAGCTCAGTGACTGGAGTCCCACCACCTCTCGCTCAACATGTGCGGACGCTCAAAAAGGGGTAAGTTAACAAATCCTACAGAGCCAGACATTAGAGCTGATTTAGAAACCATGCAAAGGTTTCACCATTGCTTCTTGATCAGTGCTTCAGCAACCCACCTGGCCGAGACTTTTGATCCTGACAGCGCCCAGAAACTGATGCACAGGGAAAAACCTGCACCCGGGGCACGTGCAGAACAGCCCTTCCTCTGGTTCACACTCCTGGCAGCCCACGGTTCATGGACCTCCTGAGCTGGAGGCTGCGTTTTAGTTGCCACTGCTTGAAAATCAGGAGATGAGGAGGTTATTTAGAAGCTGACGCTATGCCACTTGGCAGAGCAGTTTCGTTTGCAGAACTTCCTACTCATTCCACCAACTAGTGTTTTACAGGCTTTTTAGCACCTGGAACGATTCCTCCAGAAGAAGTTTTGCCTCAGAAACAACATATGATTATCTTTTATACATGAAGCAAACAACTGACTTGCTAGATACATTACACTGGGAGAAGGAGATGACACTTTCATCCTTTAGCACCAGATTCCTTATGAACTGGAACAGTTAAGTGAGGACTCAGCACACAGAACTCATCCCTTGCCACCGGCCTTACTGGGCTGGTGAGCAACCATACCCGCCTCTGATCTTAATTGGGATGAGGAGTGGAAAAATAGGGGTAATTTACAGTTATCTGCAGCCAGAGAATACCTAAAATAAAAGATATGAGGAATAAAAATCCAGATTCAGGGAGCACCTTCTTAACGAGTCCACGTGCTGACCCCAGACCCTTACCTGTCAGCTAGTTCTCGTTTGCAAGAGTGAACAACCAACAGCCCACGAACACGGCTGCTCCTTAAGGAAACCATCTAACCCTGGGTACAGCATGAGCTCAGCAAGCACATAAAACCAGCCGGAGCAGTGACAGGGCAGACGAAAGGCGGTTAAGGACGCTTGTAAAGACAGAGGAATCCAGCTCTTACAAACTGTCCTAGACTTTTCCTGCCCGACTCCTCACTTCCCGTCTCCCTAAAGGGATGCTTCCCTCCCTGAGCACCGTAAGCCCACGGTACAGCCTCCTTCACCAAAAAGGCGAGTCCCTGTAAAGAGGCAGCGCTTCACCCCACATCACGGCCGAGCTGGAAGCAAGCACCTGACACCCCCCCGATTCAATGTTCGGTGTACGCACACAAGCCGATACTCGACAAAGACCTCCGAACGATTTTGCAACAGTGAAAAAACACTGCTCCCTACAAAAGACACAATAGAGCAATTTGCTTAAAACACTAGGAAAGCTGAGAACAAAAACCTGGGCATCTATTCCCATGCTCTCACCAACAGACAACGCTGTCAACATCGCTACCAGTAAGTCCGGTCGTGTGGGAATCCCAGTAACATAAAGACAAACATTATCCAAACATAAAGATACTGCAGAGACATCAGATGCTTTTCCATAGGGCAAAACAACCGTCCCGAGCCTGCTCCTGTGCTGATGAAATAGTGGTATCGGCGAGGAGCTTGCTGCAACGGGACGGGCTGCAGAGAGAGGGGGAAGGCAGAGCTGTTTTTCCAGGCCAGCCCTCTCCAAGGCACTCTGAAACGCAGCACCTCGGCTGCTGACATCCTGGGATGGGCTCTGGCATCTGCTGCCACAGAGCTGTAACGAACAGAAGAGGCAGCAGCAGGTCTCAGGCTGCAGAGCTGGCAGGGCAGTCTGCACCTTCCAGTTCCTCACACCTTCAGCCCCAGCTGGGTGCCTGCCCGGGGCCATCTGCCCTGCAAAATGCAATAGCAGTAGGCAAAGAACAGCCTCAGAAATCCTCACCTTCTAGTGACAAGGCAGAAGGATGGGAGAGGCACAGACAGTGAGATTCACCCGTCTCACACCAAGGGTAACTTGGAACAGCGTGTTCTTTGGCAGGACATGGACAGTTTACTATTCCGGTTACTGCTGGTTTATAGAGGGCGTCTAACAACTAATAAAAGTGGAAAGCGTCTCAGATACTTGACTTCGGCTCTTTACCAGCTTGGCTCTCTCCCCCAAATGGACTGATTGCAGATAAGGGTATCTGTGCAAAGGGGTTTTTTTTCTTGCTGCAGCAGCAGCGCAGCCGCTGGAAGACTCAGCTGAGCATGGCATGGGAGCGGGCACAGCGCTGGGCGCAGAGCTCTCCAGGGGAAAGGCTTCACAGATCGCAGCCAGACAAGACACCTGAGAAGTCCCAACTCAATACAGTACCAAATTTCCCAGTCATTTGGGGATTTTTTTTTAATAGACTTTTCATACTCTGAAACAAAAGAGTAAACATCTAACTGAAAACCTTGCCAAGAAAAAACCCAAACATTCCAGAAAACACATTTTACTTCCCTGCTCTGAAATTTTTTTAGGTGCCAAAATTCACGAAACCCAAAACCTGTTTATAAAGCACCTCTGCTCTCCTCACCCTCCCCAAAACCCTTGCAGTTTTGGCAGTAAACCATCACCAAAGCCCAGCTGAGAACAGCAAAGGAATCCAAATTTCACTCAAAAAACTGTATCGCTGGTAAAATATAAGCCTGTATCGGCATGTTACACGTGTGCTGTAACACACAGAAAAGATGTTGGTGTGACAAAAAAAAGACGTGGGACTGCCTAGAAAAGAGGCAGATTTGGCAGCCGCGGCAGCTAAGCACACAGTCACCCGGGGGAGAACGCATCAGACTAACGAGTCCCAAAAGGAGGACCACAAATGCAGCAACGCTGGGACGAGAAATGACAGCCGTCCAAAAGATGGAGGCTGCCAGGGAGAAAACAAGTCAAAAGCAAAGACAGCAAAAAGATTTGTGGATCAGGCTAAACACTGATTAGAGCAGCCTGAACCAAGTTAAGGAAAGAAGAGGCAAGAACATGGACACTGAGAAAAGAATTATTCCCCCAAGGCATCTGGTGGTGAAGAAAAGGGAAAACTGCAGAAGTAGATACAGATAAGGGGAAGAAAGATGTTTCTCCCCTCCAAAACAGAAGAGTTTGCATGTGAGGTTTTATCCAGCAGCCTCACACAGCTGGCATTCCGGTTTTGGGCCCTCTTTGTATTCCATCCAGT